ATCATAACTCATTAGCAAATGGCATGTCTTTGGCCACAGATCTCTGCAAACCTGAGACAATCGTTGGCCTGAAAGCCGTTGAGGTCTCTTCGGAAGCCATTGTTGTTGTCTCTCGTATTGGTCTCCAAGTTATCCAACTTCTGAGGTATACCTGCTATGAATGCAATGAATACACGGGTCACTAATTATGACAACTAATGGCTAATGCAATCAAATGATGGCAACCTCTTCTGGTTTTGGCGAAGATCTTGTTTCCCTTATGCTCTTTCGATACCGAATACATGGTCTCCACTCTTACCACAAATGCAATCAATTATATCACTCTCGAGTCAGATAGCGATTCACTGATCACTGAATTCCTATCAAATCAATGGTCTATTCAATGGTCTATTACTTATGGTATTTAAGGCTTAAGACAAATACAATTTCATTAGTATTGCATTCACTGTCATATGAATGAAGAGAGAGTTCAGTACATGTAATACAATGAATGCATGCATTCATCACTTCATCCAACACTTCCATCACTTCTCCATAAATGTCGTCAAATGAGACCCCAGAGGGGGTCCGAACAGGTATTGATCATCAAAATTAACACTCACCATGTTCATTTTAGCATATTCATGCGTGCTAGCTTATATTACTCACGGTATTTACAATCTTGACCAGGTCATGTCAAAGTTTATCTAATAACTTAATCTATAATCTATAGAGCACATATTGCTCACCTTGGTACCTCACATAATATTAATACCTCATTCATTGTGTCTGACTATATTATTTCTGTCACATTCATAATAAACAGAAAGCAGCATGGACATTTTTATTAAACCTAATAAATTCTATAAAATTCTATAAAAAGCGATAAAATTATAGAATTTAATGAAATGACAGAATATGTGAAGAGAGGGTCACGTTATATATGTATGAGAAACACGTGACTCAATGAAAGTGTTTTGGCATTCATTGAGTGTTTGGCACAAAAGGCGCCAAAAATTAGTGATTTGTTATTGAATTGAGTTTTGTTTGAAACAACAATTAGTGATATAATGAGTGAATCGGTGGCCAAATGTGACGTCATCTACAAGAACGACGACTATTTGATCCTCAATTACGATTACGACACCCAATACTATCCATACTATAACTCACGACTGGATCTGATGAAGGGCTACATCAGGGAAAGCGTTGAACGGAAATGGGGTCCAAATGTGAATGTCTTGGCTTTGCATGAATTGGCGGAACAGACGGACGACACCACGAGTGACGAGAAGGTGATCATTACCGGCACTCTCTTCAAGAGGTCCTTCAATCAGCCGAGTATTCTCAAAGAGTTGAGTGAAGACAACCCCGTATTGGGTGATCCCATGCCTGACAAGTGTATCGGCGATGACGACACTCTTTGGCTCCAATCGGGCGACGAGACCATCGAAGTGCTGGGACTCGATGTCCACAACTACTGCACCGGTATTTGTGTGGCACTGAAAGGCGTCCAAAACTGCAAGTCTGCGTTCG